TTGATTTATAGAAATAAGAATTAGTTGTGAGAAGGAATGATTAGATAAGTGTATAAGAAAAGAGCCTAAAGTTTCATTTTCTTTGAATAGTGGTAAGTTGTATTGTTGAAGAAAGAGATTGTAGCATGTGTTAGTCATATTTTGGGTTGAAGTTGAATTTAATAGATCGTATGTATTATATGATCTGGATGATATTAATAAATGCATATTGAAATTTGAATCTCCTAAGGCGCTTGCCGTATTCTCAGCTCTTACGGATACGGAGGATACCAGAGTCTGCTCTGTGCATTGAGTCTGACTGTCATAAACTTGGTCCTTTGTGTACACTTAGAAAATTTATTTAGTATAGATTCAAAAATTGAATCTATACATTCTCAAGAACTTAAGAAATTTTAATACAACTTTACATACTCAAAATTTACTTGAAAACTTATCTTCTATTATAAACAAGATTATAGAAGATACAAAATTGAGAAATTGGTATAAAGACCTTTTCTCAATATTAATTAAAGTTGTTATTTTAGTAAAATTAGAGTTCTTGAAGTTGGGTTTTCATAAAGAAAATAATCGAAGAACTTAAAAAATATTCTTATTTAAAAACAGTAAATTAGATTTTTAAATTTTTTAGTTAAATTTTAAATATTATAATAAATTTTTTTTCTATTAAAGTTTATTTTTTTGTTTCTCTACATGGTCTAAATACTTGTTTAATAATTTAAATGAGTAGTTAGTCTATATAAACAAACAAATTTTTTAATTAGTAAATATTTATTTTTAAATAATAAATTTATCAAATTACAAAAAATAAATTATAATAAATAAAATTTTTTACATTAATAAAAAATAATTTTATGAAATATTAAAATAAAAAATCAAATGATTTATATATGTTTCTAATAGAATTATCTTTTATATCATCAATATCAATATCTCTATTTACTAATACTTCAACTGTTAAATATAAGAAATTTTTTTTTTGTTATCAGTTTTATAATATCTCATCATTTCTAATAATGTATTTTGAATAGTATCAATATTTTTTTGAGTGATGCTAAGTTTATCAAATAATAATTTTTTATATTCATCAATTATTAATCCTATATTCTGAATATCATTAATTTGTTCTTTTTGCATTCAAAGTAGATTCCATAGACTATATTGCTTTTTTCTATATATTAAAGGATATGTTTTTAATTTTTTATATGTTTTATCTTTTTTAAGTTTAGGTATTGAAATATATACTTTTTTTCTTAGTTGTTCTTCATATAGATAGTTTTGTATATTTGTTTTCTAAGAAAAATTTTTCATCTTTTTCAAGAACCTACATATAATACAATGCATCTAATAAAGATTTCTTGTTTTTACTACTATCATAACTCTTTTTAATTATATCAGATATTGGTTTGATTTTTAATCTTAAAAACTTTTTTAAACTATCATTATCTAATATCTTTCTATATTGATTAATAATATATAATATCTGTGATTCAGGAGTACTATTAATATTTCTTTTAGAATCTGCATTATTAGGTTGTCTTAATATAGAATCATCTGGTATTTGTAGTCTTTTTAGTATTTTAGTTTTAGGTTGAATTAGAGTTTGTAATAAATTAATTCTATCAATTTTAATTTGGTTTAATTTTTTTTTAGTTTTATCTCCTAATAGAAAATTTTCATCTAAAAATTTATCAATTGCTTTTTCTTAATCTTGTAATTTTTTCAAATCAGTTTTAATTTTAATTGTTGATTTAATTATATTGTAGAATTCATTATTATAATAATTTTTTCTAATATTATCTAAATCAAGAGAATTTCTTCTTTCAGTTAATAATATTTGATTTAATTTTTTAATATTATCATTTATATGTGATCTATCTTTTAATTCATCAATATTATCTGTATTTTTAATTAATTCTAATATAATATCAAATATTTTATTTTCAGATTCTGACAATAAGTAGTCTAATCTTAATTATTTAATAATATATAAATCATTTTTTGTTTTTTCTTGTAAATAATTTTCAATAACTTCCTTTATTCTATCATCATAATATCTATTATCTTCTAATTTTTTAACATCATTAGAGTTATTAATATTATTTTTTAAATTATTATAATATTTGTTTGATAAATATATCAATCGTTCTTTTCTAATATTATTGAGTTGTTGTTTTTAATTATCAGTCAAATAACTATTAAGATTTATTATGTTTTATAATGTTTTCTATTTAATAAATTATCTAAAAATGATTCAGAATTAATAAGATCACTAAGTATTTCAAAATTTTTTCATCCTTTTAATGAATTTATTTTTTTGAATCTCATATTATTTAATTTTGATTTTTGATTATTGTTGATAAATTTAAAATTATCATAAATTTCACTTTTCAAAATAACTTTTAAATTTGCTACATTATTTTTTTTTAATATTTTATTTTAAATTTTTTTAAATTCTTTGATTTGATTATTTGTATTTATTTGATTATTTATCAAATCAAAAAGTTAAGTTTTCTGATCAGCAGATAAATTATTATCTTTACCAATTCCAATTTTATAATCTGTTAGGTGATTATTTTGATCTGTTTGTTATATGATATTTTTGTAATAATTTAAAAATGAATTTTGCAATTCCTGAAATTTTTTTTGTCTTGATCTATATAAGTTGTCTTTTAATAGATTGTTTAAATCTGATTTAATAATTAAATTATTAAGTAATTTGTTTAGTACAAGTTTTTGCATATTTGTTGTTTCTTGAATTTTTGATTCAATTTTTTTAAATAAACTATTTTTTCTCTCATTATGTAATTTTTTAATCATTTTATTTAGTAATTTTGAATTATTAATATCATTATAAATATTATTTTCTAGTAGCAAGTTTTTTATGTTTGCTAAATCTATATTTGCTGATAAAATACTATATAATAAATTATAATCAATTTCAGGTTTTGGTTTATGCTCAGGTTCAGATTTAGGTATAGGTTCTGAAATAGGTTCAGGTTTAGATTTTGGTATATTAGTTTCTGTTTTAGATTTTGATATAGGTTTTGATGAAATTATAGTTTTTTTTGGTGGTTGAAGATTAGAAGTAAAATATTTTCAAAAATTTCCTCATCAGTTATAGCTTTTTTTTTTATATAAAATCTTTTTTTTAGCACAATAATTAACATATTGACTATTATATCTGCAAATACATTTACTAGCTATTTTTTTTATTTTATTTAAAAGACAAATAGTTTATTTATATAAAAAAAAATAGAAGAAAAAATAATATATTAAATAAAAAATAAAAAAAATATTTTAAGAATATTTATAAAAAAAAAAAATAAAATATTTTAAATTTTTACATCTTCTTTTTTTTTAAATTTTTCCAATTCTGTTTTAAATTTTTCAAAGATTGATTCTCTATACATATTTGTTATTGCTTCAAATATTGATTGACCTTTTATATTAGATACATATGTTGTTTCAAATAATTCAGAGTTAAAAAATAAAGGAATTCCAGAATTTTCACTAGTAATATTATATGTTTCTCCTAATTCTAATTTTTTTCTTCAGATAAATCATTGTTTATTAATTTTGACTGATATAGAAAATCTATATAATCAATTATTATTATAAATCTATAGTTAGCAGTATTATATACTATATTTTCATTTTCGTTTCTACTAAAAACACAAACTTCTTATTTATTTTTTAGAAATTCTCAATATATTATTATTTTATGTGATTAAAATAAACAATTACTACTATATGGAATAATAACTTAGTGATGCATTATCAGATTTATTGTATCTTTTAATGATGATCCTTAATAAATTTTGAATCTTTAATAATATTAGATAAAACAAGTTTCTTTTTTTTTAGCTAATTCATGATCACATATTCTAACTAAATATAAATCTATTCTAAATAGAGCTAATAATTCTGTAATTTTTTCTAGAACATTTATTATATCACTAATATAATGTGGATGATAAGATATTAGATTAAGTTTTAATACAAAGTCTAATATTTTTATATGATCAAATCTTGAATTATTTTAAAAAAATAGAAAACTAAAAAATCTTATACCAAAGGTTTGGTGATCTTAGTATAGTGATTAGATTGCCAGACTACTATACAAGAGATTTGGAGTTCAAATCCTATTATCGATGAATTTGAATAATTATCTAAACCTTTGTACCTAACTTATGATAAACTCTGCTTGTTTCTGGAGGTTACAACTCTGTAAATTACATTGCACTAATATCAATCAGACATTGAAAGTATGATACAATGTTCGAGTTAAGTTATATAAATAAAACTTGATAGGATCTATAATCAGAAAACCTGCATTGTAGAAATCATGAGTTTAGTGAAGTAGTATAGATTTTAATAGTTAAGCTAGTTAATGTCTAATCCAGTAAAAAACCTGAATATGAAGGATATGAGATTAATAGGTACGAGTAAGTCTACTATGTAATGCAGCTTGGTATCTTATATTAGTGGCAATACCAACTTGGCTTGGCAGCTAACTAGATTAAGAAGATCTACCTTATGAAATATCTGGCTAGAACTTGGAGGACTATATCTAGTAGATAACCATAGTAGGAACTAGGTTCATATAAACATTGATAAGGGTTTAAGCCAGGTAAATTTGTGAAATAGATATATGACTACTCTGATAGGAATTACTTCTGAGATTAGCTAGAGCTCTGTAGCTTACAATATGTTGGGCAATATGTATCTTGAAGAAGAACTAAACTATGTAGTAAATAGATCTGTGTGTAAGTCAACTAGCATAAGTAGTTAAATATAGTAGTAATGTTAGTTTAGAATAGAAGAAAAGGTTAATGATCAGAGTGTTTAAATAGATAACTCACAGATGAGTTGCAGGTATAGCAGCATAGTGTAGAACTAACAGATAGTTAATTGTCTATATAGCAGACTACTTAAATTAGATAATAACTAAAGTTGTATATATGACTTGTTGTATACTCATCATATAACTATAAAACCTTAAAAAACTATTCATATGATAGTTCTGTAATAACAAACTAATAAAATCTAATCAGCCAAGGAAGTAGTCTTAATAATGAAAAAAAAAATCTTGTACCAAATGTTTTAAATTCTAAAATTCTATCAGAATTTTTAGTTAGATTTAATTCAAATTTATTTACGTTAACTTTAGATAGTCTTTTGAATCTATATAAGTTATATTCATCAACATTTTCACAAATACTAATTGAACAAGGTTTTAATTTTTTACTTCTTGTAATTATAGTTTGGGTAGTTGCTTTTCTTTTAGATGCTATTTAAATTACTTAATAATTTCTAAAATTACACATGCAATTAGCACAGTAAGAAACTCTAGATTGCTTTGTAGTAATTTTAGTTTTTAATATTGTTTTTCATATAGTTTTTAGTTTTGATATTGATTTTGTAACAGTTCTTGTTACAGATTTCTTTTTAGTTAGCTTAGATTTTTTTCCTCTTCTTTTAGCTAGTTTGAACAAATTTTGTATCTATGAATTAAATTACTTCTTTAAAAAGTAATATAAAATTTGTATTGAAATTACAAATTATAGGTAAAAATAATTTTATTAAAGTAATAATTTCAAGTTTCAAATAAAAATAAATAATTGTTAATTGAATAATAATAGTAAGAAATAAAACTATGTAAATAGATAGAGGTAATATTTTGAACAGGTATCTATTTAAAAAATCTTTTTTTGAAAAAAGACTATATTTATATATTTTCAGAATAAAATATAAAAAAAAGAAAATTCTAACAATTAGTACAAGAAATTATTGTAGTAATAGCTTTTCATTTATGAGTTTTTTTTGATATAATTTTTGTTATTTTTGATAAAGATTTTTTGTACATGTTGGTGCATATCTTTTTTTTTTTATAAACAGGTTTATAAATACTATTTTTAAAAAGAAAGATTCTACTATTATATTTCTTGGTTATTTCTCCATTTTTATTTAAAATTCCTTCATATTTGTTTTTTTTTAAAATTCCAGATATATAGTTTTTGATAAATTGTTTCTTGTACTAGATTCAATTAATACACTAACAACTTCACATTCAATAGCTACTACAAATAAAATTCTTACCAAATTAATAATAAAATAATTTTTTCATTTTTTTTTTTTTATAAAAAAAATAAACACTTCATTTATATTTATATGTTTTAAGATTTTACATATTTTCTTTCTTCTTCATTATCAGAATCTTCATATTTATATTTTTTACCAATAATTTGTTCTAAAAGTTTTTGTAGCTTTTCTTAAAGTACTGAAGGTTTTTAATTGATCCAATCTTTTACTATTATTGCTAAATATTTTGATGCTCTAGATTAAAAAAAAATATTATATTCATCTTTAAGATTTTTGTTGATATAGTTATTCTATTTAATATACATATCTTTAACTTCTAAAGTATTTTTTATATTTATAATTTCATTATATATTTTATAAAAAATATATTTAATAGGTCTGGTGATCTTAGTGTAGTGGTTAAGTTACCAGACTGCTATGTAAGAGGTCTAGAGTTCAAATCCCACTATCGATGAATTTGAATAATTATCCAAACCTTTGTACTCAACTTATAGTAAATCCTGTTCATTTCTGAGGTTGTAACCCTGTAAATCACATTGCACCAATATCATCCAGATATTAGAAGTGTGACAAGG